AATATTCTTCAACCTGGTATTTTTTTAGATTTTATTCTTTTCGAGTTTAAAAAATGTGATCTGGCTGGAGCCTTCATCTCTTGTCTATTTCTTACACTAGATACCAGCCGATACCCCCCCCCCGCTCATAGAGACTGCGTATTACAGTTGATTATAGTTCCTGGGCTCCCTGTGGTCTGATTGTTACAGTGCGAAGAATTCTGGTTTCACAAATAAGACATTCAAATTAAGCAAAGCATGCTAAGTATCTAGACATTTTGATAGTTTACATGTGACTAACAGTCGACCTACATATTGCAAATTAAAAACGTGATATTGACTGCTCATCCAAAGGGATAGCCAGTTCATGGTCAGTCTAATGTAATGCACGCTAAAACAGCTGGGCCATTAACTATTGATATACCAGTACGTGTTTTGAAAACTATTGTATCTGAAACCCACGCGCTGCGTATCGATGCGATGGGAGGTGTGAAGCAAGTCCTTTGCAGAGACATATCAGACAAAATACATCTTCTTGATTAGACTTTATTGACGCAATGTACTAATGTAGTATAAATATTGCTGTAATATCAATTTAAAAACTAACTACATTATCAGACATGTCATTTTTGACCTTAAATAAACTAAACATAATTCAGACACATGCAAAAGCTACGGTAGTCTTTGTTCTGTTTTACACAGACAACGTGGATATTCCAGGATTTTGTTTGGCAGATGTAAATTCAATCATTCAATACAGTAAACTATAAAATGAGTATAAATCACCTGCATGAATATAAAAGTGAAAACAAGGAATATGTCATGACAGATACATGAAGGTTACTTTATACAGAGCCCCCTTTCTCATGCATTAAGTTAGGCATCTTTGCAATGATAAGTTACATGCAATAAATACTCCATAAACATTACTAATAAAAATTAGTCTGTAAATGTGTTGAGGTTAAAATGCACTTCTTCCCTTCTGTAAATTGGATGTTATAAAACGTATCAAAAATTACAAAGCATACAAAACAGTTTACAAAAACTGGCTGCTATTCTGCAGTCACTCGAAAGGTAGCTTATTGATTGGCTATCATGCATCAGGCGTTAGGGTCAGGGGTTATAAGCCATTGATCATTGACCTTCCAAGTCACAGCAGATGAGCCTCAAAAGTGACAATACAAGACAAAATCTGATAGACAGTAATTGTATACTACTTAAATGTGTTAGTATTCGTCAAATTTGGCACATTGTGGAGGCAATGAATAGCCTATAAATAAAAGACGGTGTTAGTAAAAGGTTAGTTAAATAGGTACAGACTGTAAAATCAGTTTGAAATGTTAACGCTTAAATATTAAGCACACAAATTGATAAGTAAAATTATGGTCAAAAGTGGTTACAGGTACATAGTGCCTGTTGAGGTCTGCATATTTAAGGTGACAACTTTGAGTAAATCCGTATATTAAGTTTTAATTAGTATTTTCTCTAACTTACTGGACATGCAACTATATCAATGTACTATACATTGAGTTTGCTTGAGCGATTACAAAACTAAAAATTTTGTTGGCAGTGGAAAAGAAGTTTACACTGGGTGGGCAGTTATCGGTAGTTACTTGTATTTCTGAAATTAATTATTTTTTTTCACACTGAATCATGAATACAAGCCCATTAAACTTTGAAGTGCCAAAATTGTGGTATTACATTTTTGAACATTTTTCTATAATTTCTGCATTTAAACCAAATTGACAAACTTTTCCGTTGGATTTTTATCAAGATGTTTGAAAAAAAAAATCAAAAATATCAGGATGGTTTTTCAGTTTCCTTGAGCATATATAGACAAAAAAAATGTGTCCAATCATTTCACATCCCAGTTTTCTGAAAATAAATGCAATGATATAGTTGCATGTTCAATTGTACAAAATGTCTTAAATAAAAACAAAAAGTACAAGGTTAGAGAGTTATCATAGTAGATGTAATCATTCATTTTGGAATATTCAAGATTACACGCCTACAACTTAAGGCGGCAATTGAACAGCTTATCGTAGTAAGGTTGGGCGGCACTTATGGCATCCTGGACAAAATCTGGCAAGCTTGAAACGTCAAGCTTGGAAACGGCCGCACTGCCACCTGGATTGACTATAAAACCCGAACTGCCCTTGACGGTGCCGTACCAGTCCTTCTCCCATAACCACTGGTCTTGATTTTCAGGCTCCCAATTAAGCATAGTGTCTTTGTATTGCAAATTGGTAGCTTCGCAGTAAGCCTTCATCATCCCAGCCGGGTTGCTCAGCAACTCATCCGCATCTACTACAACTGGCTGGATGCCAAAATTCTCTTTGACATACTGATACAGCTCCCACATCTCACAGAAACCAACCTCTTCCAAATTAAAGGAAGACCACTCGGGCATGTTGCCTTTTGATATTGTTCGGTATAACGAACTCACTGCTTTGGACGGATTTCGTATTAAAAAAGTATGACTGTAACCCTCCGGTAAGGTGTGCAACTTGCCGGCCATCGAGTATGCCATGTCTTTCATGAAGATTGCACTGCATCCTGGGTAGTTGTCCTCAAGTAGCTTCTTGACTTCATTGAAGCTGAAACCGTCGATCGGTTCCTGGTCTTTGTACCGCTGGCTCGTTCTCTCCTTGCCGAGGTATGATGCAGTGCAGTAACACTCGTGCATCACGTGTACATCCTGTAGAGTCCTTATTGATCTCTCAAAAGCTGTTGATATGCATCTCGGTGCTGACCATAAGATAACCCTGGGTACACTTTCCAATTTTGATGTATTCATTATGATTATCTGTAAAAACAAGACAATTGAAATGATAATTATTTTTATTTTTCAGACGCACAGACTTTGGGAAAAGTCACCACCTTTAAGGTCATTTTTAAGTTATTTTTCTAGAGGCAACAAGAACAGACTAGATTTTTGGCCCCATTCCATTGACTCCTCCCACATAAAAATACATCATTTTATAATCTGTATTAAAAAAAGCGGCTTCTAATATAGATTTTAGAGTATATTTGATTGTACTCTCCATATATACTTGTATACAGTTGCCACACTCCAGTGTTTGCAGGCTGCTCACCATGGTATGAATGAAATGCAAACTGTTGGTCTGTGGAACCAGTAGTGAGACTAAACTATACTGTAAAATCTTTTGGTGACATGGAATATTGGAAGAATTGTCCCATACCCCAACTTTGTTGTTAGAGAACTAGAGAGTTGGACATGCATTTTTCAACAACTCTTGGTGATTCGGATAATTTGAAAATGTGCTCCAAATTCACCCCTATATACTGTAAATTATTTTATTTTCACACAGATTTTATTTTTCGCTATTTTTGTGCTGAAGGGCTGATTCAGTGAAAATAAAACCCTGCAAAAATATGTTCTTTCCCTAGATTTTACCGGTACATTTAACTTGTCAAAAATTAGAGAAAATAAATTCCATAAAAAACACCTAAAAAGTTTTTTTTAGCGAAATGTAATTCCAGATAAAATAAAGTATTTTACAGTACTGTTGCATATACCGTACAGTAATATAGGCTTGGCTTATCATACAATATCAAATATCAATTAGGTTCTCAGGGTGGAAATTCGATACATAACTACAATTGTACAATGTATATGCCTAATTACGCATATAGTTGACATTGCATATTTAAATGAAATTGAATTCCTAAGAATTTAATGGTGTGCAAAATCAAATGTATCAAATTCCCATTTTATATGCTGTCCAAATTACCATACAGTCACTGACTAATCAGGTGTTCAACATCAAATTTTATTATATTTTTTTGAAGAGGGGGAGAGAATATATAGCTAAATCAACATTTGATGTTACAATAATTGAGTATGTTCATAGGCGACAGATGAATGGATCGAAAATCATACTCTACAAGACAAATGTCTAGCAATGCCAGGAAGATAACTCAATCTAACTCAACTTAGGTCAAATGATGAAGGTGTTGCTGCCATGCTGCGCGTGAGAAGCCTCCATGTTTGTCTGACACGTGTTAAGAATCATTCCTGCCGAAATTAAATAATGTACAAAGTTTATTATGCAAATTCACCACCATCCTTGACCAAAATCCTGGGGAGAACACTGAATTGAATCCATTGTCACTTTAGATTTGGATTTGGCAGATGGAAAGTGTAACGAGGCATTCAATAAACCCAGACACTACCAACATACATCAGCAATTTTACTAATGGTGTTGCAAACATAAATATTTAAATGAAATCATGACTGGATAGTTTTGTCATCCTGTCAGACAACACAATCAAATCAAATCAAAAGCAAATTTTAACACAAAATTTAACACAGAGCAGCTATGTACATGTACCAACAATGGTAGATCTAAAGGGGGGGGGTCTTGTATCCTGTATCCGCCCCTGACCAAGTTTCATTGAAATATGAGCGAGTTATTATGCAAATTAGGCAATTAATATGCATGTATTTCAACAACAAAACTAATCGGGTCAGTGTGTTGTCCCTGGGCACCTATGTCTCAAGTTTCACTAAAATGCAATGATTAGCTATTGAGGTAGCAGAAAAAGGCTGAAAAATTACTAATTATTATGCAAATTAATACGCACCATGGTTAGTTTGAGTTGTGCATGTCAAAAATTCACATTAAAAATGATCTTTAAGGTAGCAAGAAGGGTTTTGTGACGTTTTCGAATAAAACATTCTCTGTCTGTTGTTTCGTTCAGAACAGTAATTTAGCTTATATATTTCAAAAGACTAACTATAGAGGTACAAGTTCGCACAAACTGGACAGTCATTGTTTACATAATTATCACGTGACATCAAAAATGGCGAACCTTGTAAAAATGACCAAGTCCGCGATTGCGAGAGCAGACTGCGGAATTTCCTGGTGAAATTTACGTCATGCATTGTCCGTAATCAAGTGCATTGAAATGTGTCCCCGGTAATCAAAAGACCTATTCCGATTTCTATGCAGGTTTGTTTTTTGTTGCCAAATTATTTCATACTTGGCACCTTTAGCAGACTATTATTCTGCGACAAAGCATTTTCTTTAAAAACCCAGACATATTTCGCACCATCATTATCTTTTGAACGATAACTGCGAGATTGAATGTCCTAGTCCGAACGCACTTCATTTGGCGGCGGTCCCAATGAGTCGCACTCAGTCAAAACCTCAACTCAAGAAAAACAGTTTTGGTTAATGAAACACTGTATGTAGATTTGCTGCATTATTATAAATATACACTAAAAATGACCAAAAATATTAACCTCTGATATCATAGAACTCATAAAGAGTGTCAGATAATGAATAATTTCAAGCTCGAGCGGGAAAAATGCAGAAAACTGCTGGCATTTGAGTCCGTACTCCAGGAACATTCGGGTTTCCATTGTTATGCAAACGCACGACGAGGGATAATCCTCTGACAAACATTACTGTCCCACTGTACATGCTGACAGTTTACAAACAGCCTAATCCTTCAAGTGTCTCTGATAAGAGATCTAATAAAACGGTTTTCGTGGTGAAACAAAATGGCCGATGTTTGAAAAAAAATTGCTGTTTCAGATTGCGATACTGAGTGGCAGATTTTTCTTTGCCTCGTCTGTCAACGTTTTCTTTTCTTCGCCATTGCGTTAGAAAAAATGGTATTAGTAAAATAGAATATTGACTTGGAAAATAAAACGATTTAAAAGAAAGTTGCGCAAAGTTACAGTAGATATTTCGCACAACCTCCACCCGCTTCCGCTTTCCAATCACCTTTTTTCGCTCGCTTTTGCGACCGCTTGTTGAATTCGACCGGAAAATTTGCGTTTTGTTTTCGACCGCGCAAATCCCGAAATGTCACCGCCCGCGGGCGGGCATTTGAAATTAGGATTAATAGAAAAATTTCCGAGGTTCACATCGTCTTATAATTGTCTTTCTGGTTTTTATGAATGTTCAAAAGCTGATAAAAATACTTTTTTATTTTTGGCTTAGACTGAATATTTTAGTTTGAACAATATTCTGACGTGAAATACAAAATGTATTCCAACACAAGTACGACATGGTTGTCAGGGTTTTCTTTCCTGATTGTTGAGTCTTCGCGATGTGTTTTGTATAATTATTGTTGTTGCTGAAGGACCATGAAGCTAAATGGCAGTTTCATGCAAGGGCTGAGTGAAAGCATAGACCCTCTAAAAGAGGGTCTATGGTGAAAGGAAACATTTCTAAGCCTAAAATAAAACCTAATATTACATCTCTGTGTGTATTTGTTAATTGTACATATGTTTTTCATGACAGTATGTCTGTAAATATCTAGAAAAATCTCGTTTTTCGTTGATAATTTCGATTGTTTGGAATGTCTGTTTACCGTGTCCCAATAATTTGTTTGGAATGTCGATCCAAGTTGGTTTCTCCATACTGAGTTTAGAAAGGGCGTCGATCATTACAATCAGCCGAAACAGGACAAACATTTACCGTAATTCATGGGGATCATGTCCGTAATTTGTGGGCTGAAACCCCAAATAATTGAACTAGTACTATTATAATATATATTTTATTTTACATCGCAAAACTACAACAGAGCTAGAGTTGTTCGCGGTGAAACAGCCGCCTTGAAGTCGATGCAACTTCAACTAGCCATTTCTTACCTTGAAATAAAAAAAACTAAAAATTTAAAGAGCATCGGGGAAAATATTAATAATCATTCTTACCAATCGCTTGCTTTATTTTATTCGAATCCACGAATCCGCTCTAAAAAAGAGTCGGGTCGATGATTTTCAGCCCTGAAGGACTTCTGTGTGAATCCTGAGTTACGAATTGTTCATCGAATTGCTTTTTTAAGCCCAATAAATTATTCATACATGTCAAGCTCTGTTCGATTTTTTCAGGGCATGTGGCCGTTCTTAGTCGAAAATATTTTTTGTCGGAACACTTTTACGGTACGTATACGGTATAGACTGAACTCATTCAATGATCGTGACTTATTTTTGAAAATTGAATGTCAAATTTTACCAGACTAGGACCGACGTGGATTCGGTATCGTTATTTTTGGAATTAATCATTAACATTTCCTCGTTTCTCTACTCTGTCAAAATGAGTTACCTATGCTTTTTTCACGTAACTGTCATTAAAATAATAAAAACATAGTTGAACTCTGGTGACCTTGGCCTTTGTTATATAATATAATTCCCTTTATCATAGTTTGTTTCAATATAAATATGCATTGTCATAATTAATTTTGAATACAAACAAGTTTTGGGGTTGAACCAACAGTGGGGAATCAGTCTACCAAATGTCCTTAAAAGATGTAAATATGTTACAAAAACATTGGTGCCTTATTTGTTTAATTATTTTAAGGGACATAATTTCCAGCTTTATTCAAAGTAATTCAGATATTTAGTATAAAAACAAATGTCTCATTGCAAAAAAGTGCTGCA